ATTACTACCTCCGCTCTCCCTAATGGCTGTAGAGAATGGAAGGGAATGGAACGAAAGAGGATGAGGACAAAAATGGACTTATCCTAGAAGAGAAGGGAGGATGGTAGACATTTTGCAGTTTAGATAATTGAAAAGTATCTCTTTCATTTGGCTAATACTTAATTAGACTCTCCTATGTGTCAGGAACTATGCTCAACAGTAGGTATTCAGTCATAGACACAGAGACATAGTAAAAAGGACACAGTCCCGGTTCTATAGACTAGTGGGGGAGAAAGAGGGAAAAAAGGCATATCAATCCTAAAATTATAAATTTGTGTCATGGATGGTGCAGACTTACTTGAGAGAGTGCTAGAAAACACCTCTTGTGGATATGATGTTTAAAATGAGATCTGAAGGATAATGAGGCAACTTGGTGATGGTGGTGGTGGTGAGGGGCTGTGGGGAAATGTAACGGCAGAAGGATCAGGGTATTTTAGGATGAGGGAGCAGTGAGTATAAAGGCTTTCAGACAAGGGTGAATCTAGCATTGTGAAGAACAGAGAAAAGGTCCGTATGTTTGAGGCATAATGAATGAAGTAGGGAGTAGGAAAGATGAGTTGGAGAGACAGGCAGGGTCTAGATTATGCGGGGCCTTGCGTGTGTGAACCTGAGGAATTTTGATTTTACTTGAAGAACAATGGGGTACTGCCCTGGCTTTTTTTTTTTTTTTTTTTTTTTTTTTTTTTTTTGAGACAGAGTCTTGCTGTTGTTGCCCAGGCTGGAGTACAATGGCACATCTTGGCTCACTGCAACCTCTGCCTCCCAGGTTCAAGTGATTCTCCTTCCTCAGCTTCCTGAGTAGCTGGGACTACAGGTGTTTGCCACCATGCCCTGATAATTTTGTATTTTTAGTAGAGACGGGGTTTCATCATGTTGGTCAGGCTGGTCTCGAACAATGGAGTACCTTTAAAGCAGAGGTAATAAACTAAAAGTATGTAGTTTCTGCCTCAGGCATATCCATACTTAGTGCAGTATGGTGCCAACCCTTAATTTTAGTTTTAAAACAGGGAGATTTCATATAAAAATCTAGATTTCCAGTTTCTCTTTTAAAAAGCTGAAGATCTCACCACATGTTAATCCAACTGGTGGAAGTTGGGTATAATCCCATGTTGGGGTTTTGCCAGGCAAGTGCAAAAGAGGCAGAGGAAGATGGGAGGTCAGAATACTTTCAAGGGAGTGATTGTAAGGATAAACTATTGAGTCTAAGCTGGGTCATATGGCAACTGAATTCTAGAGGGAGGTGATGAATAGATCATGGTGGTTCAGTGGACTGGCATCTCAGTTAACTCACAGGATTATTTATAAGGGGTATTTTTGCAAGTGAGCCAGAAGAACTGAAAGTTGTCTCGAGAGTGAGGTGTTAGCACTGTGATTGTGGATGTGGTAATTTCTGGTGAAGAAAAGTTCCAAGGTGTGACTATAGAAGTGGATGGCCGAAGTGGGATGGAAGAGAAGGTCACTGGGCATGACAGTCATACGACTAAGGGATCAGAATAATGAGAGGAATTGAGATGATGATAATGTCTTGAAGTCAGATGTAAAATCTTCAGTGAATAAGAGGGAGTCATGGGAAACCACAACATCACAGCCCTCCCTCATGAAATCCTGAAGAGGATAAAAAGAGATAATAGTTTGAAGAGCAAGGAAATTATGACCTCATCTGCTCCTGAGGTATGTCGTATAAGAAAAATAGAATGGTTGACTTTGAAACTGGGAACCAAGGCTAGAAACTGGGGTGAGAGTCTCATGAAATAGTCAACTTTTTTCTTTTTCTTTGGTCTCTGGGAACACTTATATTAGCATCCAATCAAATTTTTTTTTTTTTTTGAGACGGAGTTTTGCTCTTGTTGCCCAGGCTGGAATGCAATGGCGCGATCTCAGCTCACTGCAACCTCCGCCTCCCGGGTTCAAGCAATTATCCTGCCTCAGCCTCCTGAGTAGCTGGGATTACAGGCATGCGCCACCACGCTTGGCTAATTTTTTTTTGTTTTTTTTTAGTAGAGATGGGATTTCTCCATATTGGTCAGGCTGGTCTTGAACTCCCGACCTCAGGTGATCTGCCAGCCTCGGACTACCAAAGTGCTCGGATTACAGGTGTGAGCCACCGTGCCCGGCCCTCCAATCAATTTTTTAAATGATAATTCCACCTCATTAATTTTAAACATTTAGTAAGAGTCTATTACAGATATGTTCATGGTATTGTAGGAAATTAAGGGATGAGGCAGTGAATCTAAGTGTGGCTTTTCATGTGTATCTCTCTGTTGAGGTCATGTAATCATCTTATTCAGTGAATTCTCAGAAATTACCAGCAGGAAAAGGAACAGTGTTCCTTGGTGGAGCTAACTCAGGAGCATAAGTCTCTGAGTAATCTGCAGAAGTCCTGGAACAGGCACTACATTTCTCACGTCAATGCTTAGTGAGGTGACACTGAAACATTATGGAAGGACAGTTAAAGACATTTAGAGGACTTAGAGATGTCCAGGTGGCTGACATCTGAAATATTCAGAAAGACTTTGGGATGGAAAGTAGGGAGAATGGACTAATCCATCTTCAACTAGGACAGTGAGAATGCTAGCAGGTAGGAGATAAGAGGTAGGGGACATTGGAAAACCAAAAGGTTAGGCAAATGATTGCCCGTAAAGAAATCCACACATTTTTTCCTTTTATTAACTAGATTTATTTCAAATCTATTAACACACAGATATTTTTATTTGAAATAGTGATTATGGATTAATAGTGTATCTTTGTAGATGGATCTTCCCCAATATCATTTGTATTCCCCCCTTGATGGAAATTTATAGGTATTTTTGTGATTTGGCCAATTGCCTGTATAAGACACAGTGTTGTAGTTAATTGCACAGAGTGAGCCAAATGGCTGAGTTGAATGCCTGCAGAATATCCCAGTTCGTCACTTCTTGGCTAGGTGACCTTAGCTACTGCCTTAATCATTCTGTGCATACTTCCTCTGTAAAAGTGGGATTAATAATAGTGCCTACCTCATAAGGTTGCTGGGAGGATGAAGGGAGTTAATGTCTGAAAAGCACCTAGAACAATACCTACCTAGCACATAACAAGCAAGACCCAAGTGTCAATGATTGTTATTTATTTTCTTACTTTCCTTTCCTTTTTTCTTTCTTCTTTCTTTTTTTGACAGAGTCTTGCTCCGTTGTCCAGGCTGGAGTGCAGTGGTGCGATCTCAGTTCACTGCAACCTCTGCCTCCCGGGTTCAAGCGATTCTCCTGCCTCACCCTCCTGAGTAGCTGGGACTACAAGCGCGTGCCACCACGCCTGGATAATTTTTTGTATTTTTAGTAGAGATGGGGTTTCACCGTGTTAGCCAGGATGGTCTCGATCTCCTGATCTCATGATTCATCCTTCTTGGCCTCCCAAAGTGTTGGGATTACAGGCGTGAGCCACCAGTCTTGGTTGTTATTTACTTTCTATTGGCTATAACACAGAGACAATACACTCCTTGAAGCCACCACTCACAATATGTATTGTTAGGAATACAATATAGTCTGTTTTGACTTTTTTTTTGTTGTTGTTTTTGTTGAGACAGAGTCTCGCTTTGTCGCCCAGACTGGAGTGCAGTGGCCGGATCTCAGCTCACTGCAAGCTCCGCCTCCCGGGTTTACGCCATTCTCCTGCCTCAGCCTCCTGAGTAGCTGGGACTACAGACGCCCGCCACCTCGCCCGGCTAGGTTTTTGTATTTTTTAGTAGAGACGGGGTTTCACCGTGTTAGCCAGGATGGTCTCGATCTCCTGACCTCGTGATCCGCCCGTCTCGGCCTCCCAAAGTGCTGGGATTACAGGCTTGAGCCACCGCGCCTGGCCCTGTTTTGACTTTTAAAGGTAATATTTGTATAAAGAAAAAAAATTCCAATAGTATAATTGCACTCTCCGATATGGTAGCCACTAGCCGTATGTGACTAAATTAATTAAAATTAATAAAGTTAAAAATTCAGTTCCTTGATTTCAGTAGCCACATTTGACGAAGGCAATAGCCACAGAAAGCTACAGGACATTTCTATCACTGAAAAATGTTTATTAGAGTTGGCAGACTGTGAAACTTCTTGCCCTTTCCTACCTGCAATCCCTCTCCCAGGGGTAGTCACTGTTACTAGTTTCTTGTATAGTATTTAGTATTTATTTATTTATTTATTTAATATGGAGTCTCGCTCTGTTACCCAGGCTGGAGTGTAGTGGCATAATCTTGGCTCACTGCAACCTCCACTTCCCAGGTTCAGGCGATTCTCTTGCCTCAGCCTCTTGAGTAGCTGGGATTATAGGCGAGTACCACCACGTTCGGCTAATTTTTGTATTTTTAGTACAGACGGAATTTCGCCATGTTGGCCAGGCTGGTCTCAAACCCCTGACCTCAAGTAATTCGCCCGCTTCGGCCTCCCAAAGTGTTGGTATTACAGGCATAAGCCACCACACCCGGCCTCAATATGTATTTTTATTACACAAATGTTACCGTATTATTTGCACTGCTCTGTTTCTAATTTTTTTTATTTAAAATATATTACTATTGTTTTCTAACAGTTCAAATATTTACAGCATGTGATATTAGGCTTTCAGAGCAGCTCTTAAAACTTTAAAGCACAATTCGAATATAAGAAATATGCATAGGTTTCAAGGACAGGCCGTATTTGGTTAAAAAAAATGCATGTTTTTGTTTGGGAGCAGGTGGAAGGAATGAATTACTTCAATTTCCTTCCTTGTGTGGCACCTGCGGAAACCACACTGCAGCAGGGTGAATTAAAGTCACCAATTGAAAATCACCCTACTAGCTTGGTCGGGAATGCTTCAACCCCTGCAGTGCCGTTCAGAGATCGCCTGCATCGTGGAATCACCCTGCATAAAAGCGGTTGAGGCACTGTTAAGACATCTGATATCTGGGGCCCGCCCACTGGCGACTGCAGGTCGCGGGGCCACCCCGGTCGGCGGGGCAGGGGACCCCGCCGCCTTCCCGAGGTGCGCGGCGCCCCCTGCCGCCAGCCGGAGGAGCGCAGGGCCCGCTCGCAGGAGGCCGGGAACATGGCGGGGCAGCCCGCGGCCTCAGGCTCCCAGTCTCCCGACAGGGACGGAATGGAGCCCAACGTCGTGGCTCGGATCTCGCAGTGGGCAGACGACCACCTGCGCCTAGTCCGGGTACTGCAGCCACGCGGTCTGGGCGGGCGGTGGGCGCGGGGCGGCACCGAGCGACCCTGAGAAGAACGTGAGGCCTCAGGCGTGGATCCCGCCGGGGCCGGGGAGCGACAGAAAACTGCGGGGGAGTGAGCTCGAGAGGCCGACATCGCGAGTGTAGTGCGTGCAGGGCTGCAGAGGGCCGGGGGCGGGCCAGGGGGCCAGTTCGGCCTCATTATTGCAAGGACTGTGCAGGATGCTTGCTGGGCTGTGGGGGGCGGGCACCTCAAAGGGTGAGACGCAGCCCAGCTCCGGGATGCCACTTGTTCCATTAGAGCGTTTGGGGAGAGCCCAGAGAGGAGACCGAGGAAGAGCAGGGAAGTCCTGTACACCTTTGGAGAGAGCATTTCTAATTTTTATTTATTTTTAATTTTATTTTTTTAGGGACGGGGTATTCCTCTCTGGCCCAAGCTGGAGTGCAGTGGCACGATCATAGCTCACTGCTGCCGCTCCACCTCCTGGGCTGAAAAAATCCTCCCACTTCAGCCTCCCAAGTAGCTGGAACCACAGGCGTGCGCTACCCCCATCGACTACTTTCTTTTAGAATTAGAGACTGGGAATCTTGGTATGTTGCCCGGGTGGCCTCCAACTCCGGGCCTCAAGTGATCTCCCACCTCAGCCTCCCGAATAGATTTCTTTTTTTTGAGACAGAGCCTCACTCTTGTCACGCCTGGAGTGCAGTGGCACCATTATGTCTCATTGCAGCCTCCACTCCCTGTGCTTAAGCAATCCTCCCACTTCAGGCTCCCGAGTAACTGGGGCTACAAGGCACTTGTCACCACACCAGGCTAATTTGTTTTTTGTTTGTAGAGACAAGGTCTCCCTGTGTTGTCCAGGCTGGCCTTGAACTCCTGGCCTCAAGGGATCTGCCCGCCTCAGCCTCCCAAAGCACTGGGATTATAGGCATCAGCCACTGGTGCCCTGCCTTTTTTTTTTTTTTTTTTTCCTGAAGCACTAAGCCTCTGGAGTTGAAGCAAGAGGGGGACATTTTGGCCACCAGGCGAGAGAGAGTTGTGGCTAAGACACAGAATTGTGGTGATATGAATTGTTTGGGTGTGAGGTACAAAGAAAGAGGTCTAAGGAGGCTGGTAATAGTTGCTGATAAGGAGAAGGAGTTGGAGTAAATGATTTGTTGGGGAAAATCTAGATAACTTTTTGGACATGTACATGGAGATGTGCAAACTTGAAGATGGTTATTAGACTTCTAAGCAGAATTGTAGATGCTGTTCTTGGCAACTGGATATGGAGTCTGGTGTTGAAGGGAGATCAGAACCTGACATAGAACACTGGGAATGACCTGCATAAACCTTAAGTAGCATTTAAAGCTGTGGACTTGAGTAACATCTCAGAGCAAGTGAGAAAAGCTACTGAAGAAGCCCTAGAATTTGGGGGATTATCACATTGAGAATCTGGGGAGTAAAGAGAAAGTCAGCAAAGACCAAGAGGAAGCAGACAGTGAGGTCGTAAGAAAGTCAGGACAGCCTGGTGTTCTAGAAGCCAAGTGAAGAAAATGTTTTCAGAAGGAATCATTACCTTTAAAAAATAATACTGAAAAGTTGAGTAAGATAACTTTGCAAATGCTCTGCAGCCAAGCAGCACAAAGTCCAAAGCCATGCCTGTTTTCACTCACCATTGTAGCCCTAGTTCTTAGAGTAATGCCTGTCACTTAGTAAGTGCTAGATAAATATTTGTGGCATCATCGAATGGTAAATAATATATGTGTTAATTGGTGAAAACTCATTTCTTCCAGTTAAGCAGCAATAGATGCATGGGTTATTTCAAATTAAAAAATGACTTCAGAAGGATTATGGGAGGAAGTTGTTTAAATTAGAACATGGTTATAATATTACAAATAATCCGGTCATAGAACCCAGCGTATGTACCTTTGTGCGTTTTTTCAATCTCATTTTTTTTCTTTTTCTTTTTCTTTTTAGACGAAGTCTCACACTTGTCCCCCAGGCTGGAGTGCAATGGTGCGATCTTGGCTCACTGCAACCTCTGCCTCCTGGGTTCAAGCGATTCTCCTGCCTCAGCCTCCCGAGTAGCTGGAATTACAGGTGCCTGCCACCATGCCCGGCTAATTTTTTAATTTTTAGTAGAGATGGGGTTTCGCCATGTTGGCCAGGCTGGTCTCGAACTCCTGACCTCAGGTGATCCGCCCGCCTCGGCCTCCCAAAATGCTGGGATTACAAGCATGAGCCACCGCGCCCAGCCTCTTTTTTATTTTGAGACAGAGTCTGGCTCTGTCGCCCAGGCTGGAGTGCAGTGGCACAATCTCGGCTCACTGCAACCTCCACCTCCTGGGTTCTAGCAATTCTTGTGCCTTAGCCTCCTGAGTGGCTGGAATTACAGATGTGTGCTACCACATCCGGCTAGTTTTTTGTATTTTTAGTAGAGATGAGGTTTCACCATGTTGGCCAGGCTGGTCTCAAACTCCTGGCCTCAAGTGATCCACCAGCCTCAGCCTCCCCAAGTGCTGGGACTGCAGGTGTGAGGTACCGCACCTGGCCTCAATCTCATTTCTTTTTTTTTTTTTTTTTTTGAGATGGAGGATTTCAGCTCACTGCAAGCTCCGCCTCCCGGGTTTACACCATTCTCCTGCCTCAGCCTTGCGAATAGCTGGGACGACAGGCGCCCACCACCTCGCCCGGCTAGTTTTTTGTATTTTTTAGTAGAGACGGGGTTTCACCGGGTTAGCCAGGATAGTCTCGATCTCCTGACCTCGTGATCCGCCTGTCTCGGCCTCCCAAAGTGCTGGGATTACAGGCTTGAGCTACCGCGCCCGGCCAATCTCATTTCTTATATACCTAATTGTATTGATTGAAGGAAAGTGTGTTAGATTATCTCTGTTTTTGAGAGAGTTGCAGGATTCTTAATTTTTCATTAACTTCTTTAGGCCTACCCTAGTTTAAATGAAACACTTTAAAAACATCACTGAGTATTTCCCAGCCATTTACCCACATCTGCCAAGGTACTGTATTTTAAGGTTTTAGTGATAACATTTTCTACCAAATACTTAAATTCCTACCATGGATGCAAGGTTATACTAATTACTATGGGTACTGTATAGGAAGTACTAGACCAGCTAATCTATTCATGGTACTGATAGTTAAATAATATCAGTAGAGAACAATCCAATACTATATACATATATGTATGTGTGTATCGGGATGGGTGGGTGTGTATATGTGTGTGTATATGTTTACATATATATAAATTTCTCTGTGTGCCAGTTTGGGAAAGAATTTGAGTACTCTAAAAGTTAAAAGAAGGAAAGATTAATGAATGAGTGGATGGTTTTTGAAGAAGTGGGCCTTTATTTGAAGGACATACATTGTTTGTACAATTAGATATAGAGAGCACAGTCCTCTTTTTTTCCACTTTCTAATTAGTGCTTTCATTATTGTGAATAATAATTAGTGAGGGTTAACCCTTAAATCTCTTTCTGTAGAACATCAGCACTGGAATGGCCATAGTTGGAATAATGTTACTTCTAAGAAGCATTCGACTGGTAAGTTAAAAAATGAAAAAGACTTTACAACAAGCGGTAGGTAGTTTATTCCCATTTCAGACAATTTTTATCTCAAGCAGTGTATCATATTGTTACTCGTATTAGTAGCTTTTAAATAGTATTTTAGAACAGTGAACATATTTTAAGGTGTTGGTTTAAACCTAACACATCCACAGGATTTTACAGAAAGTAATTGCATGGTCTGTATTTCCATAATCACTTTTTTTTTGTGCTTAAAAAGGAATCTGAAAAGGATTTAGTTTGCTAGACTGTTATAATCACTATATTTGCATTTTAAACACTGTAGAATATCTTAAAAGTGTTTTTTTTGTGTGTGTGGTGCTTTTTGATTTAGACCACAGTTGGATTATGTCCCTTAGCACTCAATAATTTATGCTTCCAGTTAGCACATTGTCTTAGCTTTTTCAATAACGTTTTATTGGTAGCATAATAGACATAATATTTTTTCCATGCCCATTAAACAACTCCAGGGGACGGTGCGGTGGCTTATGCCTGTAATCCCAGCACTTCGGGAGGCTGAGGCGGGTGGATCACCTGAGGTCAGGAGATCGAGACCAGCCTGGCCAACATGATGAAACCCTGTCTCTACTAAAAATACGAACAATTAGCCAGGTGTGGTGGCAGGTGCCTGTAATCCCAGCTACTCAGGAGACTGAGGCAGGAGAATAACTTGAACCCGGGAGCAGAGGCTGCAGTGAGCTGAAACTGTGTCACTGCACTCCAGCCTGGGCAACAAGAGTGAAACTCTGTCTCAAACAACAAAACAAAACAAAAAAACAATAACTCCAACTTCCTTTTCCCTTCATCCCCTGGTACCCATCATTCCATTTCTGTCTCTATGATTTTGACCATTCCAGATACCTCATATAAGTGGCGTCATATTGTATTCTTTTGTGACTGGCTTTTTTTCACTTAGCCTGGTATTACTAAGATTCATCCACGCTGTTGCATATATCATAATTTTTGTCCTTTTTAAGATGGACAATATCCCATTGTAAGTGTATATTACATTTTGCTTCTCTGTTCATTTGTTGATGGACACTTCGGTTGCTTCCATGTTTGAGCTGTCGTGAATAATGCTGCTATGAATATGAATGTATAATTATCTCTTCGAGATCCTGCTTTCAGTTATTTTGAGTTTCAGTTACATACCCAGAAGTGGATTAGATGGTCATTGTGTTTTTAATTTTTTTTTTTTTTTTTTTAGGCAGAGTCTCACTCTGTTGCCCAGGAAGGAGTGAAGTGGTGTGATCTCAGCTCACTGTAACCTCTGCCTCCCGGGTTCAAGCGATTCTCCTGCCTCAGCCTCCCGAGGAGCTGGGATTACAGGCGCCTGCCACCACACCTGACTAATTGTTTTGTATTTTTGGTAGAGACAGAGTTTTACCATGTTGGTCAGGCTGGTCTCGAACTCTTGATCTCAAGTGATCCACCTGCCTCGGCCTCCCAAGGTGCTGGGATAACAGGCGTGAGCCACTGCACCTGGCCTATTTTTAATTTTTTGAGTAACTGCTATACTGTTTTTTACAGTGGCTATACTATTTTATATTACCACTAACAATGCACAAGAGTTTCAATTTCACCATATCCTTACCAACAATTATTATTTTCTGTTTTTTTGTTAGTAGTTATCCTAATGGGCTTGAGGTAGTATCTCATTGTTGTTTTGATTTGCATTTCTCTAATGATTAGTGATATTGAGCATCTTTTCATGTGGTTATTGACCTTTCATATGTGTTTTTTGTATAAATGTCTATTCAGTTCTTTTGCCCCTTTTTGAATGGGGTGGTTTGTTTTTTTGTTGTTGTTGAATTTTAGGAGTTCTCTACATTCTGAGTCCCTAATTAGATAAATGATTTGCAAATTTTTTCTCACATCCATTCTGTATGTTGCCTTTTTTTTTTTTTTTGGAGACAAGGTCTCACTCTGTTGACCAGGCTAGAGCACACCAGCATGATCATGGCTCACTGCAGCCTCAACCTATTGGCCTCAAGTGATCCTCCTGTCTCAGCTTCCTGAGTAGCTAGGACTAAAGGCACCTGCCACCATGCCTGGCTAATTTTTAATTTTTCTGTAGCAATGGCATCTCTCTGTGCTGCCCAGGCTGGTCTTGAACTCTTGTCCTCAAGCAGTTCTCCCATCTTAGCCTCCCAAAGTGCTGGGATTACAGACATGAGCCACTGCACCCCACCTGTGTGTTTACTTTTTCTAATCTCTGTTGACAGTGCTCATTGATGTGCAAGTTTTTAATTTCTATGAAGTCCAATTTGTCTGCTTTTTCCTTTTTTCATTTTAATTTTTGTGGGTACATACTAGGTGTATATATTCATGAGGTACATGAGATATTTTGATACAGGCATACAGTCCATAATAATCACATCAGAGTAAATAGGATATTCATCACCTCAAGCATTTATTCTTTTTTTGTGTTGCAAACAATCCAATTATGCTCTTTTAGTTATTTAAAAATGTACGATAAATTATTGTTGACTGTAGTTACCCTGTTGTGCTACCAAATACTAGATCTTATTCATTCTATTTAATTACATGGTCATACTCATTAACCAACCCCACTTCTTGCTCATGCCCAGCTACCCTTCCCAGGTTCTAGTGACCATTATTCTACTCTCCGTCTCCATGAATTCAATTTTTACATTTTTTAGTTCCCTCAAATAAGTAAGAACAATGCAAAGTTTGTCTTTCTCTGCTTGGCTTACTTCACTTAACATGATGACCTCCATTCTATCCATGGTGTTGCAAACAACAGTTCTATTTAAGGCTGAATAGTATTCTACCATGTATATGTACCATATTTTCTCTTTTCTTTTTTGAGACAAGTTCTCACTCTGTCACCCAGGTTGAGTGCAGTAGTGTGATCATGACTCATTGCAGCCTCGATCTTCAGGGCTCAAGTGATCCTCCCATGTCAGCCTCCTGAGTAGCTGGGACCACAGGTGTGAACCAGCATGCCTGGCTAAATTTTGTACTTTTTGGAGATGTTACCCAGGCTGATCTCCAGCTCCTGCACTCAAGTGATCTGCCTGTCTTGGCCTCCCAAAGTGCTGGGATTAGAGACATGATCCACTGCACCCAGCCCACATTTTCTTTATCCATTCATCTGGTGATGGACACTTAGGTTGCTTCCAATTCGTGGCTATTGTGAATAGTGCTGCGATAAGCACGGGATTAAAGGTATCTCTGTGATATACTGATTTCCTTTCTTTTGATATATATCTAACAGTGGAATTGCTGGATCATATGGTACTTCTATTTTTAGTTTTTTGAGGAGCCTCCAAACTGTTCTCCATAACGGTTGTAACAATTTACATTTTCACCAACAGTGTACGAGGGTTTCCTTTTCATCCTTGCCAGCATTTGTTATTGCCTATCTTTTGGATAAAAGCCATTTTAATTGGGGTGAGATGATATCCTATTGTAATTTTGATTTTCATTTCTCTGGTGATCAGTGATGTTGAGCACCTTTTCATATACCTGTTTGCCATTTGTATGTCTTCTTTTGAGAAATGCCTATTCATATCTCACGACCATTTTTAAATGGGATTGTTAGATTTTTTTTTTCCTGTAGAGTTGCTTGAGCTCTTTATATAATCTGGTTATTAATTCCTTGTCAGATGGATAGTTTGCATATATTTTCTCCCGTTCTGTGGGTTGTCTCTTCACTTTGGTTATTGTTTCCTTTGAGGTGCAGAAGCTTTTTAATTTGATGTTATCCCATTTGTCTGTTTTTTCTTTGGTTGCCTGTGCTTACAGGGTATTTTTCAAGAAATCTTTGCTCAGTCCAGTGTCCTGGAGAGTTTCCCCAATGTTTTCTTGTAGTAGAGTTATAGTTTGAGGTCTTAGATTTAAGTCTTTAATGCATTTTGATTTTATTTTTGTATATGATGAGAGAGAGAGGTCTAGCTTCATTCTTTTGCATATGGACATTCAGTATTCCCAGCACCATCTATCAAAGAGACTGCCCTTTCTCCAATTTATGTTCTTGGCCCTTTGTTGAAAATGAGTTCAGTGTAGATGTATGGATTTGTTTCTGGGTTCTCAATTCTGTTCCATTGGTCTATGTGTCTGTTTTTATGCCAGTACCATGCCATTTTAGTTACTATAGCTCTTATAATTTGAAGTCAAGTAATGTGATTGTTCCAGTTTTGTTCATTATACTCAGGATAGCTTTGGCTATTCTGGGTCTTTTGTGGCTCCATGTAAATTTGAGGATTGTTTTTCTGTTTCTGTGAAGAATGCCATTGGTATTTTGATAGGGATTGCATTGAATCTGTAGCTTGCTTTGGGTAATAAGGGCATTTTAACAATATTGATTCTTCCAATCCATCCATGAACATGGAAAATTTTCTCATTGTTTATACCCTTTTCAATTTATTTCATTGGTGTTTTATAGCTTTTTTTTTTTTTTTTTTTTTCCTTTGAGACAGAGTCTCACCCTGTCACTCAGGCTGGAGTACAGTGGTACAATCTTGGCTCACTGAAACGTCCACCTCCTGGGTTCAAGTGATTCTCATGCCTCAACCTCCCAAGTAGCTGGGATTACAAGCCTGCGCCACCACGCCTGGCTAAGTTTTGTATTTTTAGTAGAGACAGGGTTTCACCATATTGGCCAGGCTGGTCTTGAACTCCTGGTCTCAAGTGATCTGCCCACCTTGGCCTCCCAAAGTGCTGGGATTACAGACGTGAGCCACCGTGCCCAGTCAGTGTATTACAGTTTTCATTGTAGAAATTTTTCACTTCTTTGGGTAAATTAATTCCTAGGTATTTAATTTTATTTCCAGATATTGTAAATGGGATTAATTTCTTGATTTCTTTTTCATATTGTTCACTGTTGGCATATAGAAATGCCAGACTTATATATTGATATTGTATCCTGCAACTGTACTGAATTTGTTTATCAGTTTCAATAGTCTTTTGGTGGAGTCTTTAGATTTTTTCAAATACAGGATCATATCATTTGC